AAAAAAAAAAAAAAAGGAGAGTAGATGTTGGGAGGATAAACAATGGTGCTTCATATAGATGACACTATAGTAAATGTATCGGTCAGGATAAGCTAGGTTAGGCTGTGGTGACAGGTGATCCCAAGAGGGTTTACGACAATGAAGTCTTATTTCTGAAAATATCCTTGTACGTGGTAGGGCAGTATGGCTCTCCTCTAGGTTTTTTTTTGTGCCAGGACCCAGTCTGATAGAGCTGTCTTTATTTTTTTATTTTTATTTTTCAGAGAGAAGATCTTGCTCTGTTGCCCAGGCTAAAGTGCAGTGGTATAATCATAGCTCACTGCAGCCTCGACTCCTGGGCTCAAGCAATCCTCCCACCTTAGCCTCCTGAGAGGGTAGGACTACGGGTGTGTACCACCATGCCCAGCTAATGTTTTTCCTTTTTTGTAGAGATGGGGTCTCACTATGTTACCCAAGCTGATCTTGAACTCCTGGCCTCAAGTGACCCACCTGCCTCAGTTCCACAAAGTGTTAGGATTACAGATGTGAGCCACTGCACCCAGCCTGGAGCAGTCTTTATCTGGAACATATTGGTCTCTCATGGAAGAAAGAAAGTGATTGTGATGAACCACACACTGGCTCTTAAGACTTGTGCCTGGAACTTACACATGGTCTGCTCATATTTTCTTGGCCAGACCAAGTTTACCTGGCCACGCCTGATGTCAATGGAGTAGGGAAAATATAATCCTTCCCTGAGAAAGGCAGCAAAAATTTGTGAACAATTGTGACCAACTATACTGTCTGCTACAATCGAAGACCAGAAGTAGCCAAATCCTGCCCTGCCAATCATCCCTCCTCTCCTCAGGCTTCCCAAGGGAACTATATCCAAGAAAAATTGGAGTAGAAAACAAAGGATCATTTTATTCATAGCTGAGCTAGCACCCAGCAACCTCTAGAGCAGAGCTCTGCAAAAATATGGAGTCAAATTGCATGGCCTAGGTTTAAGGCTGAAGTGACACTTCCTAATTCCCAGCCCCACCCTCCCCACACTGTAAGTTTTGGGACCAGTATGCTTAGGCACGCCTATGGAAAGAGAGGGGAAGATGATCAGGTCTGCAAAGCAGACCAGCTTTACTCATCCAAGTATGTGCTAAATGAAGACTGGTCTGGCCTACTCAGAAGGAAATGAAGGCCAAGCACAGTGGCTCATGCCTGTAATCCCAGCACTTTGGAAGGCCGAGGCAGGTGGATCACCTGAGGTTAGGAGTTCGAGACTAGCCTGGCCAACAGGGCAAAACCCTGTTTCTACCAAAAATAAAAAAAATTAGCCAGGCATGGTATGGGCGCCTGTAGTTCCAGCTACTGGGGCAGCTGAGGCAGGAGAACTGAACCCAGGACGCAGAGGTTGCAATGATCTGCGATCTCACCATTGCACTCCAGCCTGGGCGACAGAGCGAGCCTCTGTCTCAATTTTTTAAAAAAGCTGGGCGCAGTGGCTCACGCCTATAATCCTGACACTTTGGGAGGCCAAGGCGGGCAGATCAGCTGAGGTCTAGAGTTCGAGAGCAGCCTGACCGACATGGAGAAACCCGGTCCCTACTAAAAAATACAAAATTGGTCAGGTGGGCATGGTGGCGCATGCCTGTAATCCTAGCTACTTGGGAGGCTGAGGCAGGAGAATTGCTTGAACCCAGGAGGTAGAGATTGCGGTGAGCCGAGATCGCGCCATTGCAGTTCAGCCTAAGCAACAAGAGCAAAAACTCCGTCTCAGAAAAAAGAAAAAAAAGAAGGAAATGGGGAATGACCCTTTAGCACAAAGTGGCCCCAGCCACTACTGTGGACTAATTAATATCCCGGTTTGATATTGTGATATAACAAGGAATATATATTTTGATCTTTGTCCCCAGCTCCTCACTGTATCTCCTAATATCTTTGTAATTTCTTAATGATAGGAGCTATAGGAGCAACTTTTCCTGAAATATTGGGCTTAGTCCCTGACTGCTGAAACAGGTCCAGAATGGTAAGTTGTATTATTATTATTTTTTGTTTGTTTTCTTTTCTTTTTTTTTTTTGAGATGAAGTTTTGCTCTTGTTGCCCAGGCTGGAGTGCAATGGCACAATCTCGGCTCACCGCAACCTCCACCTCCTGGGTTCAAGCGATTATCTTGCCTCAGCCTCCCAAGTAGCTGGGATTACAGGCATGTACCACCATGCCTGGCTAATTTTGTATTTTTAATAGAGACTGGGTTTCACCATGTTGGTCAGGCTGGTCTCGAACTCCTGACCTCAGGTGATCTGCCTGCCTTGGCCTCCCAAAGTGCTGGGATTACAGGCATGAGCCACTTTGCCCGGCCTAAGTTGTGTTATTCTTAACAAGCCTCCTTCAACTACACCTGAGTTTATGTTAAGAAGGTGACTTTTGGAAATCTCGGAAAGATGAGAAACTGGTTACCAGAGGAACCAACCATGTGACTAGAGAGTTGGAACTTTCAACCCCACCCACTTACTCACCCTAGCCTCTAGAGAGAGGAAAGGGGTTGAAGGTTAAGTTGATCACCAATGGCCAATGATGTAATCAATCATTCTTACTTAAAGAAGCCTCCATAAAAACTTTGTGATAGGAGCTATAGGAGCATCTTTTCCAAGAGCTTTTCTGGGTTGGTGACTATATCAAGGTGCTGGGAGGTGGTGCACATGGAGAGGGCATGGAAGCTTCACGTTCCTCACCCCACACTTTGCCTATGCATCTCTTCCAAGGCTGTTCCTAAATGGTATCCTTTATGATAAACTAGAAAACATAAGTGAAGTATTTCGCTGACTTCTATGAGCCATTCTAGCAAATTTTTAAAAAATTTATATGATAGATAAGGTCTAGCTTTGTCACCCAGGTTGGAGTGCAGTGGTATAACCACAGCTCATTGCAGCCTCAACCTCCTGGGCTCAAGCGATCCTCCTGCCTCAGCCTCCCAAGTAGCTGGGACTGCAGGTATGTGCCACCATGCCCAGCTAATTTTTTAAAATAATTTTTTTGTATAGATGAGGTCTTGCTATATTGCCCAGGCTTGCCTCAAACTGGCCTCAAGCAATCCTTCCACCTCAGTCTCCCAAAGCAGTAGGATTACAGGTATGAGCCACCACACCTGGCCATTATAGCAAAGTATTGAACCCAAGGAGGGGGTCATAGTAAGCCCCAATTTATAAACAGTCAGTCAGAAGCACAGGAGGCCCAGACTTGTGACTGGCATTCGAAGTGAGGGCAGTCTTGTGGGACCGAGTTCTTAACTTGTAGCATCTGATGCTAGCACCAGTAGATAGTGTCAGAATTGAATTGAATTGAATTGAATTGAATTGAATTGTAGGACACCCAGTTGGTATAGGAAAAGAATTGGAGAATTGCTGAATTTGGTGTCAAAAGAATTTGGTGTCAAAAGTGTTGTGTGAGCACATTAAAAAAAATACATCTAGGCTGGGCACAGGTAATCCCAGCACTTTGGGAGACTGAAGTGGGTAGATCACCTGAGGTCAGGAGTTCAAGACCGGCCTGGCCAACATGGCAAAACTTCATCTCTACTAAAAATACGAATATTAGCCAGCCATGGCGGTGGGCACCTGTAGTCCCAGCTACTCGGGAGGCCAAGGTGGGAAGATTGATTGAACCCTGGAGGTGGAGGTTGCAGTGAGCCAAGATTGCACCATTGTACTCCAACCTTGGCAACAGAGCAAGACTCCTTCTCAATATATATATATATATATGTGTGTGTGTGTATATATATATATATATATAT